TCTTTAAATTCCCTTGTATCTCATGAAATAGTGCTAAATAGCGATTTGAACATGAAATATCTGAAAATTATGGACATATTACACTGAAAACACAGCGCGCCTTTGAAAAATATTGTTGGATTTGCATATCGCCATAATAAATCACCAGAACCACGACCCATATGCAGGGCCCACTCACCCATGCGATTTGGCGCTCCATCCCCTACTCTGATGACTTGCAGACCACAGAAGGTCAATCAGATCATCACATCTAAGTAGCTATTTTTTTGTTGATATGAAAGTACAATGAAACATTCCTGAAAACGATTGAAGACTACAGAATTTCCGTTAATCATAGAGTTATATTCGCAACATAGAAATGCCCATACTTTTTTCTTTCTTCTTTTCTCAAGGTTTTCTTTCTTACCAAGAAAGGCATACGAAATAGGACGGTGGTGGGATTTAGTATAGGAAGACTAGCCTTTAACCACTCAACTCTTATCATAAATTTACCACTTAAAGGGACACAGTCAGTAAGCTTAAATCAACAATAAGTGTTTCACATTATGCGTACATTATTATGGAACTCTATCAATTCGATCACCAATGGGCCATGAAAATTTTACCGTGAATTTACTGGGTGGGGTCAAATTTCATGACAGGTCTATTCTTTTAAGTGACCTCTTAAAGTTAACAACGGAGGTAAATGACATGCTATTGTTTTTTAACATTTGTTTTGTTTGATGAATTATCAATGCGTATTTGGTTCGAGTGGCTGTATGAAAGAGGTAAAATTGTACAGGATTATTATACAGCTTGACATTTCAAAATAAGACCGTTAGCCGTATTTTATGGCGACCGCATTAACAGGGTTTTCTTATAAGAAATATTCTTATATCCAGTAAGAAAATGGCTGTAATAATGAGGTGACCTAGGGCTGGGTTACAATGTACTCAGCTGCTTTAAACTGCCAAACATATTAACCACGAGCACGGAATTAGAATTTATGACAAGAATGTTTTACTTCGTATTCTTCCAAAGTCAGTCATAACCTTTGTTGAGCACTGTTCCGTGAAGTTGACACACTTTGAGTACCAAAAACTGGTGAGTTGAAAAGTGGGCAACCGTTTTGCGATATCATTGTATATGGTTTCTTTTCTTTTCTTTTAAAAGGTTTGTAATTCGCCGGAAAACGATTTTAAATAATAAGTTTCAAGTAATATCAGATATTCTTTACAAGAAAATTTCGTCTTTTTCGACAATAGCGCCAACACGTGGCATGTTGTAATTTAGTAAAATATAACTTGTGTTTGTGATCTAGAAAAATCTGCCGAGAACCAGTAAAACTCTTTGGATTTTGCTTTCATCAGATTTAAGTAGCTATTTTTTGTTGACATGTAAGTACAATGAAACATTCCTAAAAACACTCGAAGACTACAGAATTTTCGTTAAACGTACAGTTGATTCGCAACATTGAAATGTCCATAGATTTCTTTTTCTTCTTCTCTCAAGATTTTGTTTCTGACCGAAAAGGGCATACGAAATGGTAAGGTCATGGTTGAGTATAGGAGGATAAGTCCTTCAACCACTCAACTCTTAGCTTATTAGATATTTACCACTCAAGATTTGTTAGAAAACATAGAAGCACTNGCTCTCTTGCTCTCTTGCTCTCTTGCTCTCTTGCTCTCTTGCTCTCTTGCTCTCTTGCTCTCTTGCTTTCATGCTTCTTGCTTTCTTGCTTGTTTTCTTGTTCACAGACAACTGACTGTGGCATTCATTTATATTATTTTTAGCATTCTGACAGACCAGAACCGAAATGTCCAAGATATTGCTTGTATTGATGATCGTATGCTTCGCATCTGTGCACAGTTCCCCGGTAAGAATTCACACTATAAAAACGCTTTCATGTTAACGTTGTGCTGCCTTTATGTTCCTTAAATTACTCTGAAGATCATTAAAGGTGCAGTTAGTGGTGAAAGCCAGGAAGAAAACCAGGAAGGAGAAATTAAATACGACATGGACATGTAACCGTGTTTAGCTTGAGAGAAAAATTACCTCGTTTGCTGCTCGGGAGAAGTACAGATCATTTCTTGTAATAATTCGGAAACAATTTAGTTAGCCTGCGAGCGGGCTCTTTTTTTCTTCTTCTTCTTTCTCCGTTTTAACCAACAAATTACGGCAAGCACAAACTTTCATTGAGATTTGCTTTGAATTTCTTTTATTTATTTCAAATATTACATCATATTTCCCCCTTAACGAGTGTTGTTATAATATTTATTAGATTTTAGTCTACAATCAACGCATTAAATTCAGTTGAATCCCGCTATTTTGAACTTGCAGGGGAAAAGAAAAATTGTTCAAAATAGTGGGAGTTCAAAATAGCCGATAGTATATGACTGAGGGGCAAATCCAAGGCAAATGGTTTTGAAGTTCAAAATAACAGGGAATTCGAATTAACAGAGTACGAATCGGCTGGGTCAAACTGTAATTCAGAATTACATGTTTTTTCTTAGCTAACCAACTGTTGTTTTCACTTCAATCCGCAGTTTTTATTCCAACCACCAATTGGTAAGTTAAGGCTGTATAATTTCTTAATTTAGGTTAGGCTAGACACTTGTTTCAATCATTTCAATCTTTTATTAGGATGATTTCTGCAGAACATTCGAGCAAAATGGCAAAAATAAAGTTACCAAAAGACCTCTTAGCATGGTAATATTTGAAACACAGAAAAGAAGAACTTATCGAGAATAAAGCTCTCAAGCTGACCCCGCGAGAGAAAATTGACCTTAAGTTAAAGTTATCCATATTTCAATTAAAACAGACGTTTCGCGTTAACACAATAACACACGCTTTAAGCATTCCTACGAGGTTTGGCTTTAACTTTCTCGAAAACGCTAGAGAATTTAATCACGGGGTCACTTAGAGAAATTAACTAAAGTGAGTTGTTTTAAATAGCATTCCAAAAGTTACCTTGCTATGAATAGATTTTTAGTAAATAATTTTTGCACTTACTGCTCGAACTTTAGTCGGAATCCGTCTTAAACTCTCCACTCATATCACTCCCAACAGTTGACAAAGTTATTCTATTTTAAGGTAGTCAGTATGCAAAGGCGAAAATTGGTTGGAGATTATTGTCAAGCTAGAACCAGGATGGGGAAATAGAACCAGGAAGGGATGAAGGTTAATTAAAGGTTAACTAAAGAGAGTTAATCCCTCATAAAGGAAATGATAGAGCAATGCATTTCACAGAAATGTTGTGCAAAGGTGAACATTGGTTGGAAATTAGAGTCAAGCTCTCCCATAATAGGGAAATAACCTTTCTTAAGTGAACATGGAGGTTAATTAACTAGAGTTAATCCCTTTTAAAGACCTTATTCTCAAGGTAATTCTTCTCAAGTAACTTTTAGATATTGCATCCAATTCTCTACCACGTTGATTTCGTATTGCCGGTTAAAAATTAAAATTTACATCCTTCTGAAGTTTATGTTTTATCAGATGTAAGACCCTCTATGATGACGTTTAAGTTCGACAGTGATTCTCATTTTGATATAGAGGGCGTGAGGTCTGACATGAATGGCTTGAAACCCCTTGAGAGGACAGTAAAACAAAAACAGAAACAATTCCCCCTAGCCCCAAACGACAAATAGAATTACAAGCTTACGAGAGCTGCTACACTATCGCAGTGAAAACCAACCGTTAGATGAAATATGCGTGCAAAGCAGCTTCGGCAGTCCACGTGAGGAAAGTTCTCGTGACATAATTACCTACTTTTAAACTACTTTTGAAGCCGGGAGTTATCTAAGGGTGCTTTCCTTTGGGGTGATCTGGATCAGGATCAGTGATCCAAGATCGCTCGGATCATGATGCATCAAAGAAACCGATGAATCCATTACCAGAGTGGATTTACTGGTTCTTTTGATGCACCATGATCTGAGCGATCTTGGATCAATGATCCTGATACAGATCACCCAAAGGAACGCACCCTAAAATAACTTGAGAGGGAGTCCTTTAGGAATAAGGGTTGGGGGTGGGGGAGGGTTAACTCTTTTACCCTTAATCCTGTCTTGCCTTTGGAAATCGGAATGAATAGGAATGGCGAGTCATTCATCCTTCCCTGACACGATTTTCAATCAATATTTTTTATTGTTGTTATAACTTTCTTTAGTAAATTTCCATCCGTAGTTCTAACATGACTGTTAATATTTATACATGTTTCAACTTTATCACTCTCTGCAGGGAACTGTGAATGCATACATCCAGAGCACTGCGGCCAGTATAATATATGCCAAGGTGCCATCTGCAATACACTCAGTTCCTGTTGTCTTTGTAGCTGTGAAAGTGCTGTTTGCAAGTACATGGATATTTTCGGCTGATTTTGATGAAGTCAAAAATGAATTAAACTAACTCATGAAATGTGGCATGTATTGAGGGTATAAAACGAATAAAACTGGTTTAAACTATTCAGTGTATCTCGTAATGAATTGTGGGCATCTAACTAGCGGATAAGAAACAAAGAAAAGTAGTGCAGTCCTGGCGGCTATAAAAAAAATCGTCACGGTAACAGTAATGTCGAGGGAATAAAAAGCAATGCACTTATTTCATAAATTCACTGAGTTCAGAATGTTTTTCGAGAAGGTTGTAATATTTATCTTGCCCTGAATTATAACTGCCACTGTGTGTAAGGGTAATAGAAGGTCTATTATTATCATTGTTTTGTTTTGCATTGTTTTTTAATTTCCATCGTTTTTGTTTTATTTTATTTTTATCCTACATGAATATTGGAATTAAACAAAATCCACCATTTAGCAGATCTGTAACAGAAAGATACAAATGATCTTCAGTTACTATCAGTAAAGGACGAACGTTAAGAGAGGTAGTCCCTCACGCAGGGCTTATTCCGAATCATGGTAGTTCCTCTCGCGTTATCAATTCCAAGATTACACCCGACTTTTTAAATCTCAGGAGGATTTAGACATAGCTAACCCTTAGACAAGAATTTACACGTACGCGGCTCTACACGCATTTTCATCCACCAAGTTAAAATCTACGCAACGCGCGCGCTAACATCCGCGTGGGAACAAGGTACCAGCTGGGTATAGCCTAATAGGACACTCTTTGCTGACTTGATTGTTTGTATTTTTCCTCTTTAACATACCACCACGAATTAAATACAAACATTGAAAGAGCTTCGTGATTGAAACTTCGTGACTAGTGAAATTTGTTGCTCTTTGGATGTAACATTCGAGGAAAAATTGGCTTTCAAAAACTGCAAAATCTCTGGGTGGCAAAAGCGCTAATGAGCTCACACATTCTTCGCAAAATTTGAGGTTTTAAACCCGCGTCGCTCAAAAAAGTTTTTAATATATCGGGCCGGCTCAAATTCCTTGGGACAATTACTCGTGTTGTCCCCTTTCAACATCTAGAACTGACATTTTTGTAGCTATAACAGGAACTGTATCGCTTAGGCTAATGAGACAAATATTATAAACAAAGATTCTCCTATAAAAATAACTTGAGAGATTAACTGGGGACTAAGTCTTATATCACTCACTCACTCACTCACTCACTCACTCACTCACTCACTCACTGCCCGTGATGCCCACTGGGACACAGGGCAGCAACAAAGGACCTCACGGCTATCTGTCCCCGGCTAGCCTGTGGATGGAGCTCCAGCTGTGGCATTAGCCTCTCATTCTCTCTCGACAGTGCGTCGCCGTGTATTTATCGGTCTGCCCCGCTTACGGCTGCCCTCCGGTGTCCGACTACTCTCCCTCTGCCGTATTCGAAACCGAGTCTCATTCCCCCTTGATGACCTCCTCACCAAAGTCTTATATGTACACTAATACAATATTCATTTTTGCGGCACGTTCTTCATCTAAGTGATCTGTACCTAGTTCAGGTTTTGATAAATCTATTTAAGATGAAACTTAAAAGAAAGAAAAACAAATTAGCTTCTTTTGTCTTTTTTATGACTTCTTCAAATTATTTTAATTAATCTGAAAATAGCTTAGCGATTCATGACGGGACGCACGGGGCTTCAACTGTAAGTACCGCAGAGAAATGGTAGGAAATTTTCCTAGCATTCCTTACATACTCTCACTAGGGATCTTCGTCTTGCGGCCAGGGAAGGCGTCATAATCTGTTTCAGTGACATGTCGATGATATAAAATAAAAAATAAACCAGAAAGGGCCGATGGAATATGAGACAAGCTTTAACATGAAATATATTTTGTAACGTTTCGCTATTACACTGGAGTATGTTTACTATGTATGCTTCGTGTTAACTGTAGAAGTATTTTAGGCGTGAATCCCTCAGGGGCTAGTAGGCTATTTAAGAATTTGTAAGTTATGCAAGAGCCACTCGAAGGCATCTCTTTCAACTTTGCTTTTGCTGTTATGTCGCCGAATACTGAACGAGCGAGCGTTCCCGCTTCGATCGCGCAATCCTTCACTGAGGGAGATCTTTTTCATGAGACTGCTTCACGAACATTGTTTCCTCGTC